AGATTTTCCATAAAATGGGTTTTGTGCGCAGTCACGCGACTTTTTTCTATTCTAAATTCAATTGAAATAGCAAGTTTTACAATATAAAAAAGATCGACGATCGATTTTGTCACAAGTGATAAAACGAATGTCCATTATGAATTGATCGCATGATTACGATTTGCAAATTTCCTGTGACGGTCTTTTTTTTTGACAAAACAGAAGAACCGTTATATAGAGTGTGTGTACTGTACTCATTTAATTATCAGTCTAGTACCTTCGTACAGACAAGATTATATTTATTTAAATATATATATTACATAAAAGATTTTATTCACAAGTACCGCGATTATCATCTTTATTAGGACTTTGACCTAAACAAGTCTTGCTGCAACATGCACCTGGATCAGGAAGGGTGCATGGCGCGCCCGAAGGTGCACAATTAGATGGTGGTTGTTTTTTGGGTCGTGGTTCTAGTGGCGGTTGTGGTTCTGGTGTTGATGTTGGGCAAGTCAAAGCCCCACAATTATCACAGGAAATTCGATAGCCATATTCACAAGTTTCACCAGTAGGACTACATTCATAAACGTAGGTACGCTCACATCCTGAAAAGAAACCAAAAAAATGTAAAATAATTGCAACAAAAACGAATTACAGTATGTAAAGATGATTCAAATTTCCATTACTCACCAATTTGACCACCACAGTATTGACCTTGTGAAAGCCCTGTAGGGCATTTGCAAATAGTACTAACACATGCGGAAGAAACGACGGAAACAAAAATCGAGAAAAACAAAGAAAATACAAGATACTTGAGACCCATTTGAATTGAAACTGAAAGAAACATAACGACCAAATAAGTTTAACATAATTATAGGATTTAAGATATTAATATAGAAATAAAATACATACTTTTGAAACGTAAAAAAATACTGAGAGTAAATACTGAGAGTAAATATCATGTTTATACAATTTTAATAAGTAAAAAAATGGCGTAAAATATTGCTCCAATCAGTCTTTATTTAGACATATAACTTTGTACTCAAAACAGTAGACAATTTATTTAAATATTTCAATTTTCATCACAAATTCTTTTCTGATTTTCCTTTCATTTTTTATGTTGGTGAGTGATATATTGATGGAGAAACTTAAACTTGAAACTCGAGAAGAATACGACAAATTTATCGAAAGCGTGGAAACAGAAGTTAACGAATACCAAACTCATTGTAATTTAATAGTATTTTGGTCGCAAAAAAGTTTCTAACCAATCATCAACCAATTCCAAACAATCAAAATCGTTTATTTATTTATTTATTTATGATAAATTATAAAAAATATGTTATTTATTTAACTATTAAATTTAAGGGTTTACTTTGTATACCCTTGTTCATTGATTTTGACATCTGCATGATGAGGGTAGGATTTCTATCCATGATACATTTTCTCGTTCGATGATTCGTAACCACGTCAACTTAATTCGAATGATTCAAATCATTCG